CCACAGCGGATAAGATACTCTACCAAGCAAGAAAAACAACGGGGCTGATTGTTGAAACCCGATTCAAGAGATACAAATGGTCAATCACAGGACGAGACGGTACGAACGCCTCCCCAGGAAAACAAGAAAACAAGAAAAAACTGGTTTTGGTACACATCGAGACTATGCAGACGGATTGGAGGGCACTGGTAGATTATTCAAGCCTTTTTGGGGCGGGTGAGCAGCTACTGATACAAGTTGATTTTTTTTTTTTTCAGACTCGATCGGTTTATTTCTTCTTCGCTGGCTTGTATTTTTTTGTTTCTCTGTGGACTGATGAGAAGCGATTGAAGATTCAGAGAACCGATATGTGTTGAGATCCGGTGATGAGCCTGGGGGGGGGGGGGGGGGGGGGGACGTGAGTGGTCCAAGCTTGGCTGGTGAGGTTTACCAAACAGAGATCTTCTTGCTAGGCCGAGCCTTTTTCGATAAGATGTAACAGTTGGTCTATACCCCGTCCATAACAACCGATACATAAAACAAAACAAAACATCTCAGTTTCGTGGGTCGGGTCCAAGATTGTGATGAATGTATAATGTCACTGACCAAGCCGAGCAATGGGCTTATCGAGCCGTTCCACAGCCATGTCGACCATTCCAGCTTCAAGATCAACAGATCCCCAATCGACATCTCATCCGGATATCTGAACGAATTCGTCACTAAGTTTTTTTTATATCACCAGACACTTGATCAGCCAACCACAGGCGCGATGATGATGATGATAAGATTCTTGGAGAGAGAAGTAGGGAGTGAGACTGACTGATACAAAAGTTCAAGACCATAAAGCCCGCGCCACAGGTGCCGATGAGGATCAAGATCGACTTGAGTTTCTTGATGTAGTTATCGAGATGAGATGATCCTCTCAGATCTTCAAGATGGGGGACCTGCTGATGATGAGGATCGGTCTCGAGAGAGGGGACGAGAAAGGTTTCGGAAGCGAAAGAGTCGATCCGGTTGGAGTAAGAGGAGGCGTGTTTGGAGGGATTATGGGCGGTTGAGGTGGGGCCGAAGTGGGCGAGATCGACGGGATTGTTGTTGTCATGATGGGTGACCTCGATCGACGGGTGTCCGGGTGGGATATTTCCATGAGGATGGACGATCAAGGCGGGCTTGGGTTCAGCTAGACGAGTCAGCTGATGGATCTTGTAAGACTCGTCGTGGACGGTCAACGGCTCGGCTGGGTGATGATCGGCCGTCGAAGGAGGACTAGACGAAGGCTGCTTATCATGGGTGTGTATTTTGCGGATGATGTGGAGGGAGAGCCAGAGACAAGAGGAGAGGATGGCGAAGGTGAGGAAGAGGTGGAGGGATGAGAGCATGCGGATATGGAGGAAGAGGAAGGTGGAGACTTGGTCGAGTTTGCTGATCGTTTGCAGGGCATTGCTGATCACATCCCGGGCAGGTGGTTGCTCGACGGTTTCCAGGACATGATTGACGGTGAGCAGCAGTTGTCGGTCGAGGATGTTGATGTCTTCGATCGCCTTGGATGAGAGGATGATGCATGGCAAAGGCACCACGAACACGAGCGCCAGACTGGCATAGACAATCGAGTGCAGCCTAGACGGCTTGATCGGCTTCCGCGAATCGATCGACGCCATCCTCGGTTGGCCCCAGCGACTTCTTGGGGATCCACACATTCCGATCCGTAGTGGTGGTAGGCCGCATACGAGCGCCCAAGCTACAAAAGCAGAGCAATATCACAGTTATCAAATCGGCTTTGTTGAGAACAGATCCAAAAAGGCTTACTGATTAGGATTCCCGCGGATAATAGGAGACTGGGACCAGAGATAATGGCAGATAGAATGAGGGTGAGGATGTTTGCCCATGCTTGTGGCGAAGGGTGAGCGCACTGACCTAAAATTGAACTGCTGAATGGCCATGGTGTAGGCTTTAAATTTCAAGTGATTTGCATCGGACAAGAGGCTTGAGAGCGATGCGAGATTGACTGTTTGGGGATACCCATATGTAAATGAGAGTTCAATCAGCATGGGATGATGAAAAAACAAACGGACGCACGGATGGCATTGATGAGGAAGATGAGGGGAAGGATGAGGGTGAGGTCAGGCTGATGGTAGCCCGAGCTTGTGGAGCTGAAGAGACGGCTTGAGGAGGAAGATCTCTTGCTCAAGCGGAGCCACAAGGAGGAGAGATGGACGAAGATGGAGAGCGAGCAAAGGGCGATGAGGATGAATGATGAGAGCCGGATCGACTGGGAGAGTGAGGGCTTGGAAGTGGCGGCGATCTGGTCGCGGAGGACGGCCCATTGGGTGGGTCGGATGGTCCAGTCAGGTATGTTTTCGGCCATCGATCTAGTTCTTGCTATGTATTCTACTCTAGCCAGTGAAGAAGAGTTAGTTGAAAGCCGTGCTTGCTCAAAAAAAGAAAGAAGACTGGGCTAGATGGTGATGTTTGAGGTGATGTGGGTTTGATCGAAGGAGTTGATGGGGAATGGGTAGTATGAAGATCCACTCTCAAAGGATTGCAAGTTGAGGGATGGGTGATCTCAGATGGTGCAGGCTCCCATGGCCTTAAAGCACGCCAAGAAGAAGTCGAGGACAGCAGCCAGCAAGAGGGATGATGTTTTGGATGGGACGACTCCAGTGAGTTTGCCCCATGAATATGGTGGAGCGAGGTTTCAGAGGCGAGGAACTCCTAAATAAATATGTATTTTTGTATTTCCGAGGCTCTCTCGAGTGGGTTTTTCCTACACACTTGACTTTCTTCTGACTGGTTCTTACATATTAGCACCTCCCCCAGCTGGCAGTGGGCACCCATAACTGAACTTAAAATATTCGAGAGCTTCTCCGCCGGATGCCCTAGTGTGTGCCAGGATTCAAAGTCAAAGTGATCTGGTTGAAGGACTCATCACACTCAGCTGAGACAAGCAGCTCTCTAATTGGTTGTCCCATTCCCCCGGCAACGTACTATTTACAACCAAGCTGGATGTGAGCACGAGTCTGCAAAATATCAACCGACTGAAGAATGATCGACCAAAACCACATCTCGAAATATGTATTGGGGCTTCGGATTCAGGAGACAACTTCCAACAGATTGGTACATAAACGAGCTATGGCGGTCTGGCGAGTTTCCCGCTCAAGCAGCCCTGGCAGTAGGTCCACCTCGCCAGCTTGACTCTCCAGCCAAACAAGGGTTAAATCAGAAATGGCTATCATTCCTCAACATGTGGACGATCCCGGACAAAGTGTCTGAGTCGGATGATCACCATGTATTTATTTACAATTGTCAGTCGGCGATCATAGGCATCCATCCAGCAATCCGTGGGTTTGGTGAAGTTTGACTAGAGCCGCGTGGTGGACAAGTCGGTGACAAGAGTTCTGAAAGGAAGCTTGTTGAGGAGCTCTTGCGAAACCGGACGAGTCAGTCAGTCAAGCAAGCAAGACTTGGCCCTATAACCCACTGTGGGCGGACCGGGCGAGAGATCCCGTTCGCCGGCGGGCAACGGGCTTGCTGGGCTTTTAAACCCGCCAAGACCGACAGGAGCCCGCCGCTTGGCTTGGCCGCGAAGACCCAGGCGAGGGGAGATGGGCTTGTTTATATGTATGTATCCTGGGGCTTACATTTTTGTAAATATTTTCACTTCTGCCCTAATTGACCGTTTCATGGCGCCTTTACTGTGCAAACTTCCATCATCAGAATCATTCGCCAGAGGAAGATCTCGAGAACCTTGCAAGAAATATCGACCAGATTGGCTGAGCGACTCGAGAGCGAGCCGAAGAGCCATCTCTCTCTACCCACTCACATCATCCAAATATTCTCCAAGCGGCTCGCGGCGCGGGATTTGTTTCCTCCTCCTAAGCATCTCCCATCCAGAAGCAGAGCGGGAGAAGGGCTGGTCCCTGGGTCGTTAAAAACTTTCGAGTCTGGAGTCCCTGTTCAACGGCTTTCAAGTCTTTCTTTCCCCACTGATCTGGGAAGAGATTTTTTCTTTGTTTTTTTGGGAAATTGACATTATTAAATTTCGTTCTATAAAACATCGGGCAGTCAATCTACATAAGCTACAATTAATTATAAATTACAAGATCCAGGAAGAAGCGTGCTTGACAGGGATTACTGAGAGCCGTCGTCCGAGACGGGGGCGGAATCGCAAGTGGAGTGGATGTGATTGATGGCGGCCCTAGTCTGTCGAGCGGTCTGTGGAAAGGAAGAAGCGGAAGATGGGCTCAGGATTAGTTGGTTGCTCAAGACCACACAAGCAGTCTCTCCGCGGACGCAGAATACACATGTATAGCTATAAAAAATACTGACCTGACAGTGGTCGACGCAGCAAGATTGATAAGCTTTCAGGAAGGTGTGAGAGTCACAGAGACAGGCGATCTCGTCGGCGGAGCAGGTCGGGGCCAACTGGTTCAACTCGCTCATCTTCTTCTTATAACAGCGGGCTCCACATCCTCCTGAGGCTTCCTTGTCGTGGGAGTCAGACGAGTCGTCTGATTGTGTCTCCTCACTCTCATTGTCCGAGGATTTAGCCTTGGATTTGGGTTTGGAATCGTCGGTACTTGAGCCGGTTGTCGATTTCAGTGGAGTCGGCAGCGATTTCGGATTGATGTTTCCGGGCTTATAGGCCCCCGGAAGCTTGACGGTGGGGTGATCATCATCCGGGATGGGACTTGATCCCGAGCCTCCTTTGACGGCGATTTGGCCGCAAAACACGTAGTATTGGTCCTGGTGGCCTTCCTCGCCACTTGATTGGCCAAAGGAAATCCTGATGGGGGAGAATCATATCAGCTTGTGTTGCGGTTCGGCTGCTGGCTTTGCAACGAGTTCTGCTGGAAAGTTGACTCACATCTCAATCCGAAGAATGTAACTTCCATCGACAATGTTTTTGGGGATCGGGACTTCCCAGCGATGGCCGTCGTGTTCAGAATCGAAGTGCTTGCGGAGCTTGGCGGGGATCCCATCAACCTCGGCTTGGATTCTGTGGTAGTCTGTCTTGGAGGCATCGAAGTCTTGACAAGCGGTCGAAGACTTTCCACAGTAACCAAGATAAGCCAACATGTGGCCGGTGGGGTGAGGAAAGCTAGAGGAATCCGGGGAAAATCATCAAAATTAGATTCGAGCACCAGACTGATAGATATTCTCGGGGCTTACCCTTCACCCTCGTTGCCCGCAACGATGAGGGTCACTTTACTTCCAGCGTTGACGGCCAAAGTCTTCTTGGCACTCTGGTCGGCAGCACTGAAGAGGGTTCCGCCGGGTGCGGCGACGGTCTCCTTTGGAGTTTCTGAAGCGCCGCAGACGATTGCAGGAGAGTTGATAAAATGACTTCCAATCCAGCCGATGTTAGACGGCGCGCTACGGAAGGCAGTGTCACTGAGGGGTTGCTTCTGAGCCTTCTGGAATTGGTGATCATCAGCAGCCCAGGACTTGATGTAACCGTGGCCAGTCACGGCCGGGATCAAGATGAAATAGAGGACCGGGAATACAATTATTTGGCGTCCACCCATGATTAGTTTTCTTTGGAAGAAGGTATTGGTCACGACTGTTCGGGTTTCGGATTGAGGAGACTGGATAAGATAGCCTTGAAAATTTTAGGTCTATGGGCAAGGCAAATCTGCAATCGTCTTCTGGGAACAGTCGGAAGGGGGATGGATGAGGAGGCATCTGGGGAACCTGGAGGGGTATTTATGAAATTATAGCCTTTGGACTCAGGGCAGAGGAGATGAGACGAAATGCTTTCGAGTGTAGGAAAGCAAGCAGGAGGGAATAGTCGCACTGCTTGCGAAAGTATCCCAAGAAGCGGAATGGCTGAGAGGCGAAAAGCTCGAGGTAATCTCACTCGATCATGGCCATTTCCCTGATGTCGGTAGCCGCTGAGGAAGAGGCTCAAGATGCTGGGTTCAGCACGCTCTCAAAAGTGAAGTAGCCTCATATTGAAGGCCAATCAGATTCCTAACAAACATGTTTAAAAATCGTCTGACCAATCTTCAGAAATGCTCCTCTCCAAGATTCCGGACTAGCAGAAATGCAACGAGACCCCCGGGCCGAAAGCTACTAGAAGAAAGGATAGCAGGAACATGAAAAAGAGGAGGCCGGAACTGAACCAGAATCCGTCATTTTGGGAGACCAAAGCTAAGCATTGCTGGCAGTGGTACATTGCAAAAGATACAACATTTCGGCCGCCTCGAATCAAATGCTCTGTTCAAAACTGAACAGCCCTATAGGCCATCGCGCGTTGGACAACTGGACACCCATCAATCAATGTTTATCATGACTGTTGGATCATCAGCTAGAAAGAGGTAGTATAATGAAGGCCACAATTACCAATGGTATATGGAAAAAGGTTAACTGTGAAAAGGAAATAATGACAGCCGGTGATAACACTGTCTCGTGGTGTCAGCTGCTGCCCTACAATTCTTGTACTGTGTGCAAAGGAAAGATGGCAAATGGTACAACAAGGATGTGCTTACATCGACGAGCTGAAGATTTATTTTTGCCGGCTGAACTCAAACGGAAAGGCTCAAATTCCCTCCCATGGTCTCCACTCTCCAGATGCAAGATGACTTCAAAGTTGATTTTAAGCCACAAGAGTCTCATTTGAATATCAAGATGCCTGAATGTCAATGGGCAGAACTTAGAAGGATACAATTTGATCAACACACTATCAAAAAATCTCAGGGAACTCCTGCCAGTTGACATGCAGAAACTCTCTTCAAAGTTGGGTTGCTACTCAGATGTTACTCAAGCATTACCTCATCCGTACTTCAATGCACAGTCACTGCCTTGCACAGTGACTGTACAGATATTCTTACATATGAATGGATTTTAGGAAGTTACCTTGGGAGTAACCTGCATGTCAACTGCCACCAGTTTGGTGAGATTTTTTCATCTACATATAACTAAAAGAATAGGCTCAGAGAGCCAAACAAAGTGTCATGCAATCTAACAATGGTGTCAGACTGAGACAGGTGCCCAACTCATTCAGCACCCCCCAAAGGGGCAAAAGGTCATCAAAAGTCAAGCAACACTGTCCAACGGGGCAAAAGGTCATCAAGAGATCACCAAGTCCAACTCCCCAAAATTGGGGGCAAATACTAGTAGTGACATGAGTGGATGACTTCCCATTGTACTCTACATTCCTCACAGAAGTCATTTTAGAACCCTTGAGATCTAATTTTTCATCAAAAAACATATTTTTTTCTGGAGTCTTCTAGCAATAGCTGTCATGTGAGCTGTTTGAGATCTTGATTGTGGTGTTAGCTTAAGACTGAGAGAGATCTAACAAGCATTCTAAATCATGACAGGAACTCCTCCAGTTGCAAGAGAAAGTGGCCCAGTCATCTACCGCCAAACACAGAATAAGAAGTGATTGATTTTTCTAAATACAATCTTCATACATATGTTGTCTCTGGCCTCAATTTTAGCAAAATTCACCCAACAAAACACAATTTTTTTGGGTTTTGAGTTGCCTTTCAATACTGTTTCAAAGTGATAAGATGATTTAATGTTCAAGATTTTGCATCAATGATTTCTCAGTAGAGCTCAACAATGGGAAGTATTGAATATTCACAATACTTGCAAATCAAACTTGTCAGGGGTTAATAGTATCAAACCTCCTCATAAAGAAGAAATGCATAAATAAAAAGAGAAATCAAAGTGAATAAAGATAAAGAATGAATAATAAATATTAAATTGAATTAAAAATACTGCAGCAAAGTAAGAATGAACACAATGTGACACATCTAATACCCCAACCATTGATAGAAGAGTCTACTATGTCCATAATATTCCTTGTCCCCAAGGAATAAGCTGACCACAAGCTGGCCTAAGTCTCCAATAAATCTTGAAAGGAAACCCAAGTGCCTTCATGATATTTCTCCAGTGCAACTACAATTACCCTTTAGTTACTAGTATAAGAACGTATAACTTTGAACACCAACTAGACATCACGTGTCAACTTTTTACTCTCTAGTAGAAGGTTTTCACTACTTGTCTAAGAGGTCCAAATACCAGTGACTTTCTTTAAGAAGAACTACCCTTAATCTTTTTCCTCTCAAATGAAACCTTATGCCTCATCCACAAATCATCCACACCCCATTATCCTTGTTCTGAAGCCGTGCTGTTACTATATTCAACTAATATTATCTTTGACTATCCTCTAAAACATTATCTTGTGAGAAGGTCAAGACTACAGATACTACGCATGACACACATGATTATCATAAGCCTGACAGAACTTAAGTCCCTCCCTAGGGACTTGCATGTAATGTTGCTCATCTGGCCTGAGAGCATCCAGCCAAATGGCCAGATAAATCACAAGATCCCCCATTTGTCCCATGAGATCACTGTTTATAAGGGAGCCTCTCTAGGGCACATAGAATCTACATATTTTTCTAAATATTTACCTGTCTTCCATTTCCTATCTCTCCTCTTCATTCTTTAGATATTGCTAAAGATTGAAAAATAAAAAATCTGCTTGGACAATGACCCAATACTGGACACCTGTGTCCAGTCTCACACCTTCATGAAAACTATGACAGCCATTGATGAGAAATGTATTCACTGGGACTTCAGTACTCCAGTTGACCCTTGGAGTCTCACTCCTAGTCCCACCGTGATTCCAGCTGTCAATGAACTCAATGAAAGCTTTGAAGTACACCATCAAAAGCTTTATAATTTTTGATCCAGTCACACCAGCATGATCCAACTATATGAACAAAGCAGAAAAAACAATTTTTTATTGCAATTTCATGGGATTTAACTCCCAAAGCATGTCCTCCTTTGAAAAGAGGTAGGAGCCTCATTTTTGCTGCTAAAAGTATTTTTTTTAAACAAATGTCAAGATGCTAGGCTAGCCTCAATGTTATCATCAACTCCTGTGTTTCTTGCAATACAATCTAATCATACAGTTCCTGTGATACAATACGATCAAACATTTCCTGCAATACAATCTGATCAAACATTTCCTGCAATACAATCTGATCAGATGCTGGCACTCACAAAAAATCCAATTTCTGATTCAGCTACCACCCACCACAATCAGCCCCCTGTACCAATTCTATCCGGTTCCACCCAAAGTTGGTGGCCTCTGCCAATGCAGCTTTGGAAGCGCTACATCAAAGGGCTAGTAACGCTCCAGAACCAAAATCCAAACCAAATCTTGTCTCTTTCTTTACTCAGGGAAATGATCAAAAATTTAGTATGTTAGAAAAACAAATTCAGATTGATCAACCACAATGGGATCATTGGGTTACACAAGCAAAGCTAGAAGAAAACCAAGCCAACAGGAAGGAGAAAAGGGGGGTGGATCTTGAGGACAGGTAATTAAAATTTGAGGAGGATCAATTCAATTGACTGCAAAAACAAGAAGAGAGTGTGGCAGAGGTGTAATAAAAAGAAGGGGAAAAGAAACAGATTGTCAACAAGATGATTCAAGAAGGAATATCACCAAATGAGATTACTGCCTTAGTTTAACTTTGACTGATTTATAGATAGGCTATTTTTATTCCATCTTAAAATCCTTTACACTCACGTAGATTCCCATTTATCAATTTATTAAAAAATCCTTCATTTGTTATTGTTAAATACATGATTACCTCTCTCCAATATTTGAAGATTCTCATTCATTTTTAATTTTAAACTCCTAATTCATAGTTAAATGAAACACATTCATGGGTTAATTGAGTGCAGAAAGCTTCATCAGTAGCAGCAGGAATTTGATCATCATCACTGGATTCAGCTGAAGGGTCAAGGTTTTGGTCTTCAGGGACCAACTCCGCCCATTGATCACCAAGTGTTGCTAAACGGTTATGGAGGATGATAAAGCTATAAAAACAGGCAAAATATTGCCTCATATGACCTGGATTATACAGATGCAATCACATCTCCTGCAAAGAAGCCCATTGAGACTTGAGGATATCAATTGTATGTTTGTTTTTCACTTGAGCCTTGGCCAGACAGGAGTTGAAATTGGTAATGAGGTGGACCGCTGTGAGAACTCCTTTGGGATGGATGGCAGTCCTGTGAGGGGAAATAGCAGTTATGATATTTCAGGTATGTTTGAATTTATTACAACTGTTACGGGTGGTTTGAAAAAACCTGCCCCTCTAATGTACTACACTAGAATTCTGACAACAAATTTATTTTATTGTTGTGGCAAAAAAAAACTGTTGATGGAGAAAACTATATGTAGCAGTCTCTTATAAAACCTAGATCAATGTGGAATCAGCTGAGACTTTCTGGAATTTTGAGTGGAAAGAATTTGGTGTGGTTTACAGAAGGCTGGAGTCAGATAATGGAAAGATTTGAAAATCTGGGAGATATTTTTGTATGTTTTTATATGTTTATATGAGTGAAGTAAAGCAAATGTTGATATGAAAAAAAGACTGAGAGGAAACTGATGATAAATATGAACTATTCAAAGTGTCTTTGCCCTCCTCCTTAACCTTCAGTTAAGAGAACAAATGGGTCAAGATCACTTTTGTTAAGAGCACAAGGGGTGATACTT